AGTTATACATCTCTGCAATGACCTGTCAGAGAGTTGATTATTAGCTGTATAAAGCCAGGGATGCTGTAGGGAGCAGATGGGAACTGCAGCCAGGCTGATTAAAAAATCCTTGGCAGTTTTACAGTGTATCTTTGGAAGTGTACCACCAAAATTACTGTGAAAACTGCTGGGCCTGGAAAGCTGGATTTCTGAAAAATCACCTGGTTGAAAAGTAGTACTTAAGAAAACTCTTAATACTCTGAAAAACAGGAGAACAGTGGCTCTCTAAAGAACATCAGGGCCACTGAGTATCAATCCTCAGAATATGTTTTCTTTGCATGCTGGTCATTCCAAAATTCTGGGTAGTTTTCTAGTAGGGAAAGCACTTTTTGATAGGTGCATTAATAGAATTAAAAATGGGAGAAAGGTGATAATCCAGACTACCTCCTACCACATATAGAGGATATTTTTATGTAATTTGCATGACAGGTGATTATGCTTTTTCCCCTCAGTTCTTCCGTGATGGCTCTATTCAATATTGTGGGCCATTGGTGGAAATTTCAGGTCATTAAATTTTTTCCCAAGTTAAACATCTATCTTTATGTAACTTCCACTCCTAGGCCTGTTTCTCAGTTTTTCCTTTCCACAATGCAACCATCATATATTTGAAGCCAACTGGCCTGTGTCCCTTCAGTACTCTTCTTTCCAGACCAGTGGGTACAAGTTTCTAAGAACCTTCCCTTTTAAGAAATGGCTTCTTGGTCTTTTACCCTACTCTTCTGGACAATCCCTCTTTTAATTAATCTCTCCTTTAAGATGTAGAACCTGGAAATGAGCATAGACTGTCAGATATTCTTTCCATCTTGAGCTCTCTTTTAAGAAGCACTTTTTTTTTAGTTAATATGGTTTATTGAGATGTAATTGACATACAACATTGTATTACTTAAAGGTATACAACATGATTTGACATGTATATATGGGAAGTAATTACAAGAATAAGTTTAGTTAGCATCCATCATTACAGTTACGAATTTTTTTTTGTGATGAGAACTTTTAAGATCCACTCTCTTAGCAACTTTCAGATATACAATACAGTGTGGTTTAACTATAGTCCCCATGCATACATTGCATCCTTTAGGACTTGTTTAGCTTATAATTGGGAATTTGTGCTTTTTGACCACCTTCACCCATTTCAGGATCTCTGACCCCACAAATATATATATTTACCAACTGTAATATATTTATTTACAGCTGATTTCTTTGAATCACCACCTTAAAAGTACCACAGGTTACATTGTTGGATAAGTCTCTTACATCTATTTTTTCTTATCAAGGTATCATTGATATACAATCTTATTAAGGTTTTTACAATATTCACCCATATTATCAAGTCCCACACATACACTCACTGCAGTCACTGTCCTTCAGTGTAGTAAGATGCTGTAGAGTCACTACTTGTCTTCTCTGTGCTATTCTGCTTTCCCATGAGCCACCTACACTATGTGTGCTAATCATAATGCCCCTTAATCCCCTTCTACCTCCCACCCCACACACCCTCCCCAGCCCTTCCCTTTCTTTGGTAACCACCAGTCACTTCTTGGAGTCTGTGAGTCTACTGCTGTTTTGTTCCTTCAATTTTGCTTTGTTGTTAGACTCCACAGATGAGTGAAATCATTTGGTATTTGCCTTTCTCCGCCTGGCTTACTCCACTGAGCATAATGCCCTCCAGCTCCATCCATGTTGTTGCAAATGGTAGGATTTGTTTTCTTCTTATGGCTGAATAATATTCCATTGTGTATATGTACCACATTTTCTTTATCCATTCATTGACTGATGGACCCTTGGGTTGGAGAAGCACAATTTTTAAAAAATGAAATGGCAGTATGTCTTACTAGAAAAGAAAAAAAAAAACAATTTGCCATGACATATGGAATTGGGACAAGAAATTTGAGGAAGTGTCTTTCCTTACTGGTGTTTAGGCTGAAGTTTTTGAGGTTCTGTTTTATTTATTATAAGCAATTTTGGCTCATATCTTTCTTAGGAATAATTTTTAATGCCTGCATTGCATTTACTTTGAAGATTACAAAATTTAGTTGGCATTTGTTTATAAGAACTTTTCAAATTTATACTGCACTGAACTGGTTTTTAGTGCTTCAGATAGTTTTAATCAAGCATCTATATGTTCTTATATAACTTTACATCTGTTGCCTTTACACATGACAACTTGATCGAGCGTAAGACTTGACTAACAACCTTCCCTCTTCAAATTCTCTAGATTTTTCTATCTCTTTTTAACATTTTAACACTGCAGCGCAGTTTGAGGTTGGCCCTGTTTTTGTCCTTTGCCAGAATGTGTGCAAGTTTGTTTTTTTTAAATTGATTTTGCTGAGAAAGTAGTGAATCTTTCAATTTGCATGCAAGATCTTTTTCCGCTCAAGATGGTATTCATTTATTATGTCTCTGTGGGCTGCTTTCCTCCCATTTTTCTAGCTGCTTCTTCAGTTTGCAGTGTTATTAAATGACTTTCTCTCAATTTCCCTCATTATTCTCTTTTTGCTATCCTTTTCCTTTGCATTCTGGAAAAATATCTTAAGTTTTCTTGTTATTTACTGATTCATTTTCCACAGTTCCAGGTCTGTGCCTTTTTGATCTCTTTGAAGTTTAATTAGTATTCCACTTTTTGTTTCCATGCATGTTCCTTTTTAAAAAAATCATATCCTTTCTTTTTTCCCTAAGTTCATACCTTTTCATTTCAGCCTGTAAGCTTAATGCTGTCTCTTCCTTCCTGGCACACTTCATTAATCCTGCTCCATAGAGGCTACTGTCAGGACCTCTCAATGACACTAACATTTTTAGGTATTTTATATTTCTTTTATGTCCTCCTCCAGAGTCTCCAGAGCCTGCCATTACCATCCTGTATTCTAAAGAAAGGTGTTTTTTTGTCTTGTTTTTTTTTAAGAGGAATTTCTTTTGAAAGTTTTATTGTTTTTCCAAGAATTAACAAACATGGGGTTGTTTTAAGGGTCAGATTAAATACTGACAATTATATAACTGGAGGAAAGTGGTTAAGTCTTAGATAAAAGTGGGTTATGCTCTAAGCCTAGCCACAACTGCAAAGATTGCAGAGGTATTAATTATGATGTTGGGAAGAACTATGCTTTAATAAACCTTCATAGTGCAAATTCAGCTGGTATTCCGATTTTCTAGAAATGTCTTCTGACCCCATAATAGAACTATTTTTAGTACCATGTTTCACTGCCTTATTCACAGTCTTATTCACTGTTATATTCTCAGCTCCTGGCTTAATGTCTGGCACATTGATACAAATTTTTTTGAACGAATTAACAAATATGTTCTATACAACTGTTTCATAGAGGCCGAGTCTTCTTCTGTAATGTTTAGAATTCCAAACATTTTATTAAAAATGTTTTCAAAATTCTAAACATTTTCAGAGGTATCATTTCTCTGACTCTTCTGGGTTTATGTCTTCTTTACCTCATTGGTGGCATTTTTTGATAGTTCCTACATTATGTCAACCCCAACACACACACTTTTTGCTCATTCTTTTATGAAGTAAGGTCTGTGTAGACTTGAAGCCAGCAGTGGTTGGCTGCTGTTGGCACTAAGCTCTCTACTTGGCTAAAAGATATATTTTCTTCTCAGTTCTACAGCTAAATGGCAGACTAATGTGCACATCTTTTTCTCTTAAATTTCAGTTGCTAGCAGGCATTCAATTGGTACAGCTGTTCTCTTCTAGGATGACATCTTCTCTTATAACTGCACCCTGGTTCTTTGACACTGTCTGGAGAGAGTAGGTGAAAAATTATAATTTGTCTTTTCTCTGTACTGTTTGTAGCATTTGCCTGTTGGAAATCTTATTTTGTAGGATTCATTGTGCCACCACTGGTTTGCTCTTTCTACTCTGTTATCTTTTGGGGGTTACTTTGTAAACAGATATAGAGAGATGGCTGATAGGGGTATAAGCCAGAATGGAACTCTTTGGCTTTATTATAAAGTAGTACCTGGACAGTGTTTGTTGGCTGCCAGGTTCTAGCTGGTACAGTGCCTGGGTCTCATGAGTCAGCAGACTGGAGAGAGATAAATTTCCTTTTTTACCACCATCCCCCCTTTTTTTTTAGCCACTCTGTTTTATGTTGTGAGATCCTTCTCAGTTCAGCACCATCAATCTTATATAAGAATGTGCAGCTACCCCCAATCTGCTGTTAGGAGTTTTAGTAGTGTTCAGTTATTGATAGGGTAAAAAAATTTTCCCTATTTTTGTGTCTTCATGATGAAGTGGGTGTTTAGTGGGAAATGGGAAAGGCCACATGGAATTACAAAATTTGAAACCTGGGGCTTAATAAGGTTTATTTAACTGAACTTAAGATGATTGGTTGTGTCCTTTCCTCTAGGTGTCTCATCAGTTGCAGTTTTTGTCCCCTATCCTAATGTATTTTTCCCAGTTCTGCTTGCTTTTCTCTTTTAATCTTACTTGCCCATATTTAGACTTTTACCCCTCTAACAGTTGAATGACAAGGAATCTATATTATGTTTTATAGGGACAGGCCCTGTTAATAGAGGGCTTTAGGAGCTTTTGCTACTCCATGTTCTGAGTGTCTGATAATTCAAGAAGAAAGGGGATGTGAGTCAAGTTGTGCTAGAGCTTCAATCTCTGATGTGCTATGGCCTCTGTTGTTTGAGTGAGGAGTGCCAGCTGGCAGTAGTAGTAGAAATAAGTCTCTTGGGAATGGGAAACTTAACTCCAGAGGATTCCTAGTTAAGACTTACCACAGACTCTCCGGGCAATTGGAAATATTGTACTCTTCCTTGGGGAGATGGAGTGGGAATTAATTTTCCCTTTGGTCTGATGTGACTTGGTTAGAAATACACTTGAACCTTGTCTTGTCCATTGTGATGTGATAGCCACCTAGGAAGGGTCTGTTTTGTGTGGGAGTTTATTTCAGGCTGTCTCCTTGCCTGTATTGTTTCCTTTAACAGCTCTTTAAATTTTCTTTTTCCAGCAATGATGTTGTCCACTGGGCATGTACTGACCAATGTGGCAGGTCTGAGAACATAGCTGAAGCTGAAAATAGGAAAGCTGGGGGCAAGGAAGAGCCTTGAATCTTGAGGTGGGACGTTGACTCTAAGATGTCCTTGAGCAGTGGAGCCTCCGGAGGGAAAGGAGTGGATGCAAACCCGGTTGAGACATACGACAGTGGGGATGAATGGGACATTGGAGTAGGGAATCTCATCATTGACCTGGACGCCGATCTGGAAAAGGACCAGCAGAAACTGGAAATGTCAGGCTCAAAGGAGGTGGGGATACCGGCTCCCAATGCTGTGGCCACACTACCAGACAACATCAAGTTTGTGACCCCAGTGCCAGGTCCTCAAGGGAAGGAAGGCAAATCAAAATCCAAAAGGAATAAGAGTGGCAAAGACACTAGCAAACCCACTCCAGGGACTTCCCTGTTCACTCCAAGTGAGGGGGCAGCTAGCAAGAAAGAGGTACAGGGACGCTCAGGAGATGGTGCCAACTCAGGAAGCCTGGTTGCTGCTATTGCTCCCAAGGGCTCAGAGAAGGCGGCTAAGGCATCCCGCAGTTTAGCCGGCTCCAAAAAGGAGAAGGAGAACAGCTCATCTAAGAGCAAGAAGGAGAGAAGCGAAGGAGTGGGGACTTGTTCAGAAAAGGATCCTGGGGTCCTCCAGCCAGTGCCCTTGGGAGGACGGGGTGGGCAGTATGATGGAAGTGCAGGGGTGGATACAGGAGCTGTGGAGCCACTCGGGAGTATAGCTATTGAGCCTGGGGCAGCGCTCAATCCTTTGGGAGCTAAACCGGAGCCAGAGGAAGGGGAGAATGAGTGTCGCCCGCTAAAGAAAGTCAAGTCTGAAAAGGTAAGAGGTGGCCAGATCTGGCTGCCCAGTGCCAGTCAGAACGGCCCTAGACTAACTGCCAAATGCTGTGTGCACTCTGTGGGAGGCTCATTAGTTTGTGGGTAATGACCAATTACAAGGTCAGAGCAGCTGGTAATGATAATATGGTTTTATTTCAAATTAGAGGATTCCCTGCAGATTCATTAATAGCAGGCCTGGATATTTTGGAGAAGAGTATCTGTTGTTGGGGGCAGCTGCGTGGCAGAATGAATTTTCTGTGTCATGTTGAGAACCTCCCAGCTTGTCATAGTCCCACCTCAGAGACTTGTCACTGGAGGCTGTCATCATCAACCTTTATGTGGTTCCCAGCTCGACTGGCATTTCATCCTCAGTGTCATTGATAAACTCGATAAGTTATATGAAATAAGAATGGTTTATAAGAAGAATCGTTCTGTGCAGTTCTGACTGGGATAAATGGTGCTCCTGGGTCTTTGGAAGAGAAAAGGGTTAAATACATTTCATGGCATGATATCTACACAAGTGTTCTATTGATGGCTGCTAGAGAGCAAAGGGGCACAGTGTGGGGCAGTTAAACAAGAGGGTAAGAGGTACTGATTATATATTATGAGGCACTTTATCAGACCTTATGAGTTAGTGTTGTGGCTATGGAAGTTTGGCTTGAAAGAGATTCTTTGGCCATTAAACGTATAGTTCTTGGCCAAATATCTTCCCTCAACTATTGGTAATCAAATTTCTTATGGTTTAAAAGCTGCCAAATAGTGTAATGATACCTTGCCTTCTGCTTAACTTGGAAGGACAAGTGCCTGGAGCCTCAGGAGGGGCAATCCTCCTGTGGGAAGATGATCTTAGTTCATGTCACAGGAAATGGAGCTTGCAGGGCTGGCTGAGTAGGTTTGAGTCAAGGGTCAGCCTGGACTGCCTTAAAGTTCATCAGCTTACATTTTCCTGCAAAACAGCCCGCCTGGTGATGAGCTGTTCATTGGCTCTTGATTTTCTGCTCTGTGTTCTGCTTGCCCTGTGCTTTCAGCTGATCCTAGCAGATGCAGTATAAATTGATTTCTCTGTAATTACATCAGCTGCAACAGGGAATACCTGTTTCCATACGTAAGTGTTAATAAACAGAGGCTGGATATGTATATTTGGGTGGTGGTGCCCTCTCAATGCCTGGATTCCAGTGGTAGCTTGCTCTTTCTTTGCAGGAAGTATTTTGGTCTTTGCCTCTGGCACATCTGTAGCTCTTAGCAACATCTGGCCTTCCCCGGTAACAGAGCTGTGAATTTTCTTCCACCAATAACGCAGTGGTTCATTCCCTTTTACCAGTGACAGCTGCCAAAGAGGCTGCCTGTGTTTAGGTGGCAGATGCTTTAGTCCACCTCAGCAGAATGAAGTTCCAGCTGGTTACTGGCATGGCTTATCCTGTGCTGGCTGTGATTTACCATTTTCTCTGGAGTACAGATGGATAATACTATTTTAAAGAGGCCTAGGAGTACCAGAAGTTCTTGCTTCTGTTCCAGGTCCATTAAACTGTTCCCTACATCTGGCTTCAATAAACTCTTGCCATATATCCATGTTCATAATCATTGTTCTTCCTGTGCTGAAAAGTGGCCACTTCTGAGGGTGCTCTTCATTTTCCTTTCTCTTTAGAACTCCTGACTCATGTTGCAATCTTCTAAGCCCAGTAGTAATCTGTGGGTAAAAGGATTAATAATGTTTAGCTCTATGTTGGACTTAAGTCTAAATGTCTATGATCGTCTCCAACAGAGAAGCAAATGGAACCTATTTTCTCTTATAGGTGCAGGGACTGGCTGGGTGGCTTCCCTTTAGATTATAATAGGGCTGAAAGATACAGTACATTCAGCTAAGAATACACCTTGGTGCCATGGAGCTTTTCTCCTCAATAATGTAGCTGTTTTATAATCTTGTCTTTGAAGGAGACTGAGATTGGGACAGTGGAATGAGAGAGAACAGGGAGAGAGGCTATACTTCAGTTTTTGGAAGAAGAATAAAATTGCTGGGAAGTACTTATAGAAGGAGAAAATTTGCTGTGCAGTTTGATGTTACTTTGAGAACCTGCTTTCTCAATTCTTTCCCCATTCACTTAACCCTTTTGAACAGCCTGGTTCTGGGCTTCTGCTTTTAATAAAGCCTTTGACCATTGAAATAAATAATTTAAATAAATGTTTGGACGTTGCTAGGAGATGAAAACACTGCCAGCAGAGAGCACTTCTGGAATGGGAGGAGGGGAAGACACACAAGTTAAGGGAAAAGAAGGCCAGTAATCTTTCAGTGCAGCAACTTTGGAGAAACAAGAGAGGTTTGGGGCATAAGAGGTACTCAACCAGTGTTTGATTAGTATTATAGCTTATAAACTAAGCCTTTGAAAACTTATTTAATATTTTCTTTCCAAGATACGGGCTTGCCTATGGCTTAACTGGTTTGGAATGTTGTTTCCATTTGGGGACGGCCAACAGAATCAAAACAGCAAAACAGATGTTTTGATATAATCTAGGAATTACGTATTCTGAGCTGGAAACTGTCATGAAAAGGGAAAATTCCTAAAATTTGGAAAATGTCTTGAGTGGAGGCTCTCCCTTAACCTACCCCTGGAAGTAGAAGAGAAGACAAATGGATTTTGTGGTGTAAGATAGAATTGTCCCGTGTCTACCAGTAGCTAATGTGGGAGGTATGAATATTCAAATTATCTACCTCAGGACCTTCTCTTTCACCAAAATAGGTATCTCAGTATATGGCTGAGGGGATTTTCTGTCAGCCAAAGATGTGGGTTTCCCTTCATGGGATCCCACTTATGCTCCACCACACCTCCCTACGGCAGGGCTCACTGTGCTATTTCCCAGAGTTCAGAGGGAGACTAGAGATGGATTTTAGCAACTGCTGCTGCCCTGATTTGTTATTGAACACTCCTGCCTCATACTACTTGCCAGCAGAAGAGATGGGGGAGGGAATATTGAAGAATAAACAAGACAGAGCCTTCCGGCTCCTGCTTGTTCCCTTGTCTTTGGTTTGATTGATAGGTTGTTAAGTTAGGGATGGAAGGGAAGGTGGGGAGGGGGAGCCTGTCTGAATGTCCCTGAGCTTAGTGCTTGTGTTGCCACTTTGACAGGCAAGAAAAAAAGAATTTACAAACCACAGAAGGCAGTGGTATATGTGTGCAGACTCTCTCTCTTTCTTGGAGACTCTGTCAGACTCGGGGCTTAAACCGGGAGATTCCCCTGCCCCCTCAAATCATATTAAGTAACCAGTAGGCTCTAGTGGCTAAAGGATCCAGAAGTTTGCAACCAGAAGCTCCTCTGGCTTCTTCAGCTTCTGCTTTTGATGTTGCAAGGTAAGAACACTACACTCTGCTTTCCCCCTGCTTGTATTGTAGCTTCTGCTGCTTTCAGAATGCTGCATATATTTACCACTTCCTCCATTAGTTTAGGATACAAAGAAAACCAAAAACCGTTAAGCATGCTCTTTGCTCTTTCAACTTCTGATCAGGCTTGCTGTTGTATCCTTTGTTCTAATAACATCTTCCTTTGCCCTTGGTTTTGTTTTCCTGCCCCAGTTTATGCCTTCCAGCTTAGTTCTCTTGTGTTGCAATCTCTCATTGCCCAACCAAGGTCAGGTCTCTTTGATTCCTTCTGATTTGAGGCTTTCTCTGTTATACCTTCCTGTTCACTAGCTGTTCTTTCCCAGCCATTGATGGCAAAGCAGTCAGCCTTGCTTTCTGAAGCCAAATGCCCTCAGGTATTTTCCTACATGGAGAAAATTAAAAAGAAGTTGATATTTATGTGGGAGACAGATGCATTCTCTAACTGCAAAGCAGCCTGAGCTTAATTAATTTGTTTTTTTTTCAGCAGCTCTGTTTTCCATCTGGGTGTTGTAATTCAAGGAAGGCCCAGAGAAAGAGTATCTTGTCCAATCTCCTCATTTTATGGAAAAGGAAACTAGCACCAGGAAGGTCATGTGACTTCCTAGGGTCTCACAGGCAGTCAGTGGCAAAGCCCGACATAGAATCCAGGTTTTTTGTTACTAGGTTCTTAGGGCATATTGTTACTCTGGGATTTTTAACAAATCTTTATAACTGTTGTGAGAGATTCTGTCTTCCCACTTTAAAAACTACCTCAGAAGCACTGGATGTAAAAGCCCAGATACTGTTAAGGCTGCTTTCATTTTTTCTTCATCCTAATTTTAACACTGTAGACACTCAATAAACAAAGAATCTTGAGTTTAGGTTTCTTTGGTAAGGTGCTTATATTTGCAAAGAACAACCATTTATAGCTGGTGCTGACCCTATCCTATTATATATAGAGAGAGGGGGAAAGTGACTTATTGCTACTTTGAGCTTGATCTTAAGTGTGGGGGTGTATATGTGTTCTGGAATATTGCATTCAGTCAAATTTTCATTCTAATCATTGGAGTGTTGCCAGTTCCCTCCTTATTTGACAACTGCAGAGAAGATAACGCACGCGTGTATCTCTTGCTTATACACACACACCTGCCCCTTGGACCTATCTCTAAATGTATTGTGGATTATAACTGTTTGTAAAGGGGTGATATACTATTGGATACCATTACCACCTTTAATTCTTTCAGTTCCTTAATTAAATTAAATTTTAGATACCAGATATTGTGCTGGGGTTGGATGTACACTGGTGGATAAAACAGAAAAGGTTCCTGCTCTTTGAGGGGCTTACAGTTTACCATCCAGAGCAGAGTTCCTGAAAATGTGGCCCATAAAATCATATGCAACACATGACTTGAGTGTCAAAAATGCAGATTCTTGGGCCCTACCCCAGATGTGTTAAATTAGTTTTAGGGATAAGAGCTCAGAAATCTGTACTTCCGGAAGACTCTCCAGATAGTTGCTATGTACTTTCATGTTTGTGAACCACTGTGAATTTTCCTTATAAGGTGGACAGTGGAGCCACTTCTAACATAGAACACCAGTCTTCCAAACTCAAATTTCACAGAAACTCTTATGTGTAACTTAGTGCTTAAGAGTATGAACTCTGGAGCCAGACTACCTCAATTTGTGCCCTAGCTTTGCCACTTACTGAGTGATATGGAGTAAGTTACACAACTGGTCAGCCTGTTTTCTCATTTGCAAAATGAGGAAAACAATAGTTCCTACATAGGGTTGTTCTGAGATTCATTTATTCATATAAAACACTTAGAATTAGTGCTTAGCACATAGGAAGCATTCAGTAAATATTAGAAAAAAAGGAAAACATGATTTGCATTGAAAAATGCCTCAATCTGCCCTAGGCAGTAATGGCCTGATATATAACATTTCACCTATATGGGAAACCCAGTATGAATAGATAAACATGTTGGCTAAGACTTGTCACATGCTGCTCAGAAGTAGTTCCAAACCTAGGC